AACAGTTATGTATGAAATATAATAAAATTGTACAGGAAATGACGAACAAGTCGAGAGCGGAGAAAGCTTGATGAGGGAACTGGAGAGCGGCTCGAGGAACATTTTAACCATCGAATGGTTTGATTATTAAATCCATGAAGTTTTTCCACATGCAGATGCACTGCGAGAACAAGAGATCAATAAAATATAAATTAAATTTTTATGAGACAATAACATTTTACTCAAATATTTTTAAGGACGAACCTATTAAATATTTGCATTCAAAAAGTTCTGTTTCATGAAGGTCGCATTGTTTACCCTTTATAATAAGATTAATATTTTAGTTATTCAAGGATATTTGTTTAAAGAAAAACCATATTGAATTATAAACCTCATAATTTTTTCCGTGTGTGTATATATATCAAAATTCACTTGATTGCAGTTTTCAAGTGAAATCCTAGCACACTTCACAACGACTCGTGGGCTGCGCCTAAGGGCTGAGCATTGCAGGATATCGCCAGGATGGATGGGGAAAATGGGGTGGGGGGTTCACCAAGAGGATATAGGAAATATATTCCTATAAATGGGAACACCCCGACCACCTCCCCGCGATGTAATTGATGTTTCAAGTAGCAAAGTGCGCGCCAAAAACTACGAGGCCCAAGTTGATTTTGATTCAGTTGCTGCAGAATTTTAATGAAGTCGAGTATTGGCTGCAAGTTTTGCGACTAAATCAAATTAAACCACATGTGCTTCTTCCTGCTTTTAAGGAAAAGCCTAGGAAATGAGCCCGACTTTGGTTTAGACCCGAAAACTAATGCAAGTTTTTGTCAGCCACCCCGTTCGCCTCACCACCCCCTCTGTTTGGCTTGGCTTTCAATAATGCTTTTCACGCTAATTAATTTTCGGTTTCACACAAACACGAACCCAATCACACCCGCTCACAATCGCAGCCACACACTTTGGACCGGCACTTGACAATTTCCTGAGCGTCAAAAGATTGGGAATTTCTTGAAAAAAAGGCGGGGGTGATTCACGGAAAATCTGTCCACTCGAGGGGATGGAGAATTCGTTTCCTCCCCAGCAAACTTGATTCGATTTTATTATGGGTACTCAATAAACACAGGGGGATGTTTGACATTGAGTTCAATATGTTACAATATTTAGACCAAAATTTAACAAGTTTGTTTTATTATATTTAGAAGATGATACTTGTAAAACCGGATATTCAAAGAATTTTAAGTATGCTTGTAGTCATTGAATAAGAATAACTAAAAACTAACATCATCATGATAACGATATCAGGTTAGATATTGAGAGCAAGTATTAATAATATTCTGTAGATCAAAACTTAATCCACCTTTCATAGATGCTGGGTATTCCACATTCGAATCCCACTTAAGCATCCTCTTTATTTATTTTTTCTTACACTCTCCTCACATTAGACATTAGAGAATTTGTTGCCCTCGCCTATCCGCTGGCGTTTCCTGCTGTGAATTTGGCTAAATTGCATTGCCACAACAACTGCGTCTGAAGCGATTGAGGCTTGTTGCATGAGCGAATCAGAAATTGTGGCAGCCACCCCGCAACCAAAACCTCAGAAGAGCCGCACAAGTGCCGCTTGACTCGGACTGTTTTAAAGGATGGGGAGTGGACGGGAATCGCTCCCCCCTCCCCTCTCCCCTCTCTTCACGCCCAATTGATGCGGTCTTAACGCCTGACTAGAGGCCAGAAAACCGGCAGAGGGCTCAGGTCGAAAGCCAGTCTCGAAAAGGCTGAGGTTGACTCAACAAAAAGAAGGTTTCGGTTTCGCACGGAACGCCTTCATCCCGGTTCTTTAACATGGGGCGTTTCCAGACAGAAAATGGCGGAAGATGCGAACGCCCCATCGTTTTTAGATAATTCAATTTGGGGCGACCCGGAAAGAGTCTTCAAAAGGTGGGGATCATGCGTCTTTTAACAGTTTTTTTTTTGCAATAATACAAGAGATTTCCATTGGACTTTTCATAACAGCAAAATATTATTTAACCTGACATTAAATTTTTAAATATTTTAAGACAATATTTGAAACGCGATAATGCTATAAACCAGTTTCATTCACTGTTGCTCTAATTTTGCCATTTTAAGTCAAGACTTAGAATGATTCAATTGCACTTTGTGAAAATGTTGTTCTACTTTGCAAGTCAGTTAAAGTAGTTGATAATAAATTAACGCAATCAGCATGAAAGTTTTTGAACTTAGCCATTTCCATATTGATAATTCTGAAATTTGCTGATAATTTCCGCATTAATTTTACCATTGTGATTGTGTCTTCTTGTTGGAGGGAAACAAATCCTTGCTTTAAGAACCTAGTTTGACTATTGATTAAATTCGCAACCTGTCGCAAACATCAAACGCAGTGAGCGCCGTGGTTTTTGGGGCCGATTGAGGATTCCGCCAAGACAAGCAATCGCTAAGCCGCATAATTATATAGAGAATACATAAATGCAAGTGAACACACACTGCGAACGTGTGTTTCTGATATCCCATATAGACATATAGACTGGGCCCGCATCAGGCGAAGCGCAACTCAACTCCACGCAACTCAACTAATGGTCCATTCGTGGCACTTGGTTATTGACGTTGGACTCGAATTGTATTAACAATGCATGCAGCAAGTGCTGCAGCAAAGGCAGGGGGTGTTAGGGGGTAAAAGGGTGGGCGTGGTCCGGTGGGCGGTTGGGTCAAGCAGCAAGCGGTAACGGTTCGCTTTGATGCCAAAATCGAAGCGTGGTCAACTTCATTTCGCTTAATTTCGTGTTAAGGCTCACAAATGAGCTACAGTAAAAATTCAGTAAATGGAAAAGATTTTCACTAAGATAACAAGAAGCAATGAAATTCGATTTACTTTAAAATCTTTATACTGGGTTTTTTTTTCTTAATTTTACTTGATTTATTAAATTACTACATTTATTAAATATAAAGATATATATTACATTACTCAAATAAATAAATAAAATATGATGAATTAAATTTAAATCATTTTTTTCAAATAAAAGTAACTGTAAAGTTTATAAGTGATTTTATAAAAGTGTGTAGTTACAGAATCAACTTGTTGTAAATGCAAGTTATGAAAGTTCAATAACTAAAAGTTTGACTGTAAATAAAGTGGAGGGGCGTTGCGCGATGCGTGTCCGCTAATCCGCTGGCTGTAGGATCGGGAATCGGGAATGCGGGGAATCCGGGAGGTCGACGGGCGGTGGGTGGTAGGTAACTCCCCGTGCCATCCCCCCCGCAACCCCCTTTCGATGCATGCCACTCAGCTATGACATTTTGGCAGCGTCGAGTGCACCAAGACTGTCAAATGAGTTGTAATGAAATCTCACTCAGGACTCTGGATATACATATACCTACGCCTATGTGTGTATGTGTATGAGCGTGTGTGTATGTGTGTGTGTGGGGTCCAGTCAGCTTTGGTCAGCTGCACATATAATAAATAAATTATTTGGCATTTGGCGTGGCGTATTATTGAAGGCAACTGCAGCTGGATAACCAGAGCAGCAGCACACACACGGACAAACACTCAGCCAGTAGGCACACACAGACGCACAGCAGCGCCATCTGTCGTCCGCGTTTTGAGACAGATTTGGGCATTAGCGTGATTAGTCTCAATAGTCGCTAGTATTTAGCCACAACAGCCTCGTAATCAGCGGGCGAAACTAACTTAAAATTGGCAAAGGGAAGTACAGTAGACATTGCTCCGAAACAGATTATTAAATGTCCAGTTCAAATAGAAATCGTATTATATAAAATTGTTAAACAGGATGGTGTTTTTGATCTCAAGATTCTACTTTGTTGTTTTCCTAAGAATTGATTCAAGGAAAACAATGTTTATATAATTGGTCTAAAATCAGATATGTACTGTTACAGAATTAATGGGGATGTCGGAGGTCTTCGGGATTAGTCACCCTCCCCAAATAAAGCAATTTCACATGGCGAAAAAGAAAAACTTGTGAATAATATATAATTTGCGGCGTAATGAGCTGAAAAGTAAATCCATCCATTGCATGTTCCGAGCACATAAAACTAGGCAACGATTTCTGAGAACATCGCCACGTTGTCTAGCCTGTGGAAATATAGAGGGGGAAGGGAGGGGGGAAGGAGGAGAATGGGACGAGGTGGAGAGGAGGACTCTCAGTCAGTCACATGGCAAAAAGTTACAAGTAATACTTAACGCTAAATGGGCACAAGTGCCCACCTGAGCCAGTACCACTTCAGTCTGTTGTTTTTTTTTTTCCTGCACTCCCAGTGCATGGAAATTTTTGTAATGAAGTTATCGACAAGGTGGATCCGAATCCAGCCACTAACATATGTAGAACAATATGCAAATGTTACTTTGTTATGCAATTAGTGAATTCGATGCCAGCCACTCGACAGTTGGCAAACAGACAACCGCAGCGACGACAACCAAGTCGCCACTCGAAGGTTCAGTCAGCCAGTTAAATGTATCGTTGACGTTGCAATTTGAATTAGAACATCGATGCATAAAAGTCGGTATTGTTTGGGCACGAAGTTAAGCACTTAAAGAGGAATCTTACAATCACCTTTTTTGTTAAAAAAAATTCCCTTAACAAAATGCACAACATAACAATCAGAAATTGAGTTTAAAGTTATTTTCAATAAAGAATTTAAATGAAGATATAAATAAATATAACAATTAAATTTATAGCTCCTCTTACTTTTTTTAAGTTGACAAAAGCGCACCCCTTTTGGTACGAAATAACCCATAGAAGCAATAAGCCCCTATTACCCTTTAAATATCATAGCACAAAAAATGAAATTAAACGAAAATAGGTCGATTTTGCATGTCAATCAAATGGCAAAAGGTGGGCGGGAGCTCGAAACAAGACGAGACAAGTGGAGACGGCGCATCGAGCGCTAACCAAAGCGAGTCACACAATTAATTGAAGCACCACTTACCCCGCTAAGCTCTTTCTTCCCCACTTTTGCTGATTCTTGAATATATTTCTCTCTGTTCGCAGGCCAAAATGATAGAGAATTCGCATGCCTGGATGGGCGCCACCGGATCCACGCTGGCAGGTTTGTAAAGAAACCACTTTTGGGTGGCCTGATCTGATCTTTCCGTCTTGATCTTTCAGCAGACAGCTACCAGTACCAGCTGCAGTCGATGTGGCAGAAGTGCTGGAACACCAACCAGAACCTGATGCACCACATGCGCTTCCGCGAGCGGGGACCCCTCAAGTCCTGGCGTCCCGAAACCATGGCCGAGGCCATCTTCAGCGTGCTGAAGGAGGGACTCTCCCTGTCGCAGGCCGCCCGCAAGTACGACATCCCGTATCCCACGTTCGTGCTCTATGCGAACCGGGTGCACAACATGCTGGGTCCGTCCATCGACGGCGGGCCGGACTTGAGGCCCAAGGGACGTGGCAGGCCGCAGAGGATCCTACTGGGCATCTGGCCGGACGAGCACATCAAGGGCGTCATCAAGACGGTGGTCTTTCGCGACACCAAGGACATCAAGGACGACAGCCTGGCCGCTCACATGCCGCCCTACGGTCGACATTCGGTAGGTAATTACTGCAGTCTAGTTCGAAGAGCTGTCCATTAAAATTTGGGATTCTTGAGCAGCTGAAACATTCAAATTAGAAATTAAGAACAAAGTAAACAAAATCAAATAAATAAGAAGTTAAGAACTAAATAAAGTAAATTGGAAATGACCGTCCAGTATACTTCATCTTATCAAGAATTGTTTAGTGTTGTTTTAATTTTATTCTTATATATCTATATATCAGCATAACTTACAGTTTGTGTTGTTGAACTAATTATTCTTGATAAATCATACATTTAAAGAGTTTAAGCAGCAAGACAGCTTTTCGAAGTATACTGCATTGGGAATCGTTCTCCTTGAACTGAACTAACTTGTCACGGGTTAGCCCGCGTTTCCTTTGCAGGACCTGCCATTGAGCTATCCCGGCGCAAGTGGCGCCCTGGCAGGCACGCCCAGCTCCTTGGCCTGTCCGAATGGCAGTGGTCCGCAGGCGGGCGTGGGTGGCGAGCAGCACATGTCGCAGGAAACTGCCGCTGCGGTCGCGGCGGTGGCCCACAATATCCGGCAACAAATGCAGATGGCAGCGGTGGCGCAGCACCAGGGATCCCAGCATCAGCCCGTTCCGCCGGGCTTGTTTAATCTACCACCCCATCCTGGAGTGGGTGGTGCGATACCAGGTATTATTTTACCCATTTATGGGGTTTCTTGTTTTAGTTAGGCAGCGAGTGCTATAATTCCTGCTCCGCTTGCTCCTTAGTTTTGCTGTTTATTCTGATATTTAATAATGTAAGCCTTTCTGCCTCAGCCTCGTCCATGCAACGCGATGCCCATCCTGCCGCCCTCCGAGAAGCGCAATTCCAGGCGCGGAGCCAAGGAGGTGGCCACATCGCACAGCAGCTCCATCTGCAGCAGCAGCAACAGGTGCGTCACAAGTGCTCCATCTCTTAAGAAGATAAGCAATAAGCAATCCTTCTGCTTTTTACAGGAGCGTAGACCTTGTGGTTGTCCCTTTGGCCCATGGCCATGTCCACATCACCATCATCAGCAGCATCATCAGGGCCACCAGGTGGCCCACAAGGCCGGTTTCGGTGCCAGTTCCAGTTCCTCCACCTCCTCCTCGATGGGCCAGCATCCGCCCAAGGCCAAAGGCAGTCCGCTGCGCAGCGAAACGCCGCTGCTCCACTCCCCGCTCGGCGATCTCGGCCTGAACATGGCCGGCTACAAGCGGGAGTTCTCGCCCAGCCGCCTCTTCGCCGAGGACCTGGCCGAGTTGGTGGGCGCCAGTGTCTCATCTTCCTCGTCCTCGGCGGCGGCGGCGGGATCTGCTCCACCGGAAAGGTCGGCGGCAGGATCCTCGGCAGCAGCGGGCGCCGATGCGCCCAGTTCCTCCAGCAGCGGTGGCATCAAAGTGGAGCCCATCACCACCACTAGCGAGTAAAGAGCGGATGAAATGAAGCGAATGATAAGTGAGAGTTATGAAAGGACAATGAGTGAAAGCAGGCCAACTAAAACCAGAAGCTCTAGCAGCTTCACTTGGCATATGTGCACCTATAACTTGGTTAATTTACTTAGTTTTAATTTGTGAAACGATTACCAATGTAAAGTTTTTTTTATGTTGTCTGAAAGGCTGAGTTAAAGTCAAGTTATTCCGTATAAAATCAGCAAATTATATTATATAAACTTAATCGTTCATAAAAAAAAGGGGAACCATGGTTCAAAATATATCCGCATTTCGTTAACCCGCTCCGTTTAATGTGAAAGACATGTAAATAAACTAAATTTAAGGGATAAGTCAAATTAAAAGGTTTCTTCCTTCAACTAATGTATTCCTTTGACATCAGACATTTCCTAAAATTGGTATGTAAACGAATTTATGCATAAGCTTTAAACGATTATTCAAGTTAGCCGAGATATATGTGAACATATGCCACTTTTCCTCTAGTTTCCACGCGATCTTCGTCACTTAGTTTATATTCCTAGCGTACTTATTGAATCAAAATTGAAAGTATTATTATGTTATAGTCCATCAGTCTAACTAAATAAATAGCGATCGATCTCTTTAGTTTTAAGGAGCAGCGGAAGTGAAAGGAGAACACCCGGAACATTCCACACACCAAACGGTAATGAAATTTAAATTTAAATCGAAATCGAAATAGCAACAGAAACCAACCCCAGCAGCATAATATTAATTAAATGAACAAGAAATCAAAAGAGTTTAAGTGTATTTAACTTGGTAATTGTGTGCCCGACTTTTGTTTAGTCTATAATTTACACGAAGCGAGAATGAAAAAATGTACAAAATTATTGAAAAAGAGAAAAACGAAGCACTTGGAATGGCTTCAAACGCAAATGGAATCAACTAAATTTAATGTTTAGGCTTAACGAAAAAAAGAAATTCACAAAAAATGCCTTTCGGAATTAAATTCAGCGATGAATACACCGCAAACAAAATTTGTAAAAAGAATGAAACAAGAAACAAAACAAGTGAACGTTTTTTAAACATATTTATACAAGCGAAATTTTTAGACAAAATTTAGAAGCAAAATTTTTTATAACGACTGCTGCTGCGAACCGATTGAACTTGCGGCCCTTGATTTGAGATTATTGGATCCCCAACGTAGTCCCTGATTATTAACCCCCTAAAGCCCCCACTAGATCCCCTTCTAAAGTGCCTTTTCTAGCCTTAATTTGGACTCTGCTCCACTTCTGTCCCGGCCGAAAGTCAGTCCGCGGTCTCGCAGCAGGATTCGTTGGTTTATTTGACAAGTCTGGCGACATTATGAGGATTGAATATCGAGAAGTCATACACATATATTATACTTAGTTTGACCCCTTTAGGCATACTTTCGGCAGCGTTTCGTTTGGCAAGCACACAATTGATTAATCGGACAAGAGTTAATTACGATAATGGATAAACACAACTATTTTTGCATACGCAAAAACATCTACCATAGCCATAGCCCGTATATAAACACACACGATATATAAGTATCTATGTAATCCCCGGTCCCCCCAATAGACTTTGATGTTCCACACACGTATCGAAACTTAACGAATTACTTTCGGAATAGGATGTAATATAAACAATGGCAAGAGCAAGAGTTAGCGGTTAAAAATCTCCTGGATATGTGTATCTTTATACGATCTGGACCAGCGTCCAAGTCCAAGTCCAAAACTCAACATTTTCTATCAACTTTAGTGCAAACTTTATGTTCAAATTAACTTTAAATGTCGAAATGAATGTTCTAATTAATCCAAGAAAACAAAAAGCGAAATGCGAAAAATGAAAAACCGAAACGAACAAAAGTATTTTATAAAAACATTGAAAAGTAACCCAACCCAGAAAGTCTTTTCATTGCTTACCAACCCATTCATCACCCTCACTCGGAATGCGGTTTGGCTTGTTGTTGGTGTTTATTGGGGTAAATCAAAGTGGATACTGGGAATTATTATCTTTGGATCTCAGAGGACGAGGGGAACCGCCTCTGGGGGCGGCTGGTTGATCTCCTGGTGGCGCTGGAGGAGCCCCAAGCACTGATGCAGGCACTGAGTGCTGGCCGTCGAGATCGCCTTGAGCAGGAGGAGATCGGGGTCCGTGGGCGAGAAGGAAGCACAGTCGATGCTCTCGATGGCCCTGGCCAGAGAAGCATTGCTGCAAAGGATTCGGCAAACGTTAGCTGTGATGAAATTGTTACTAAATAACTATTTTTCGGACAGACGTCTGATTTAAAAATCAAATAGATCACTTAAAACAAAATTAACGCCATAAGATACTATTAACTATTGTATAAATACCATTGTTCGGTCAGAAAGAGAGCCTGACGAGCGGAAACCATGGCGTCGGAGGCGGCGAGCAGCTCCCGCGGCGGAAGTGGCGACGAGTTGCTAATGTCCATGGCCTTCATGTGGCTCTCGACCACCGCCCGCAGGCCATCCACCCACTCCTGCCGGGCCCTGGCATCGTTGGCCCTCAGTTTGACCGTGTCTCCCGAGGCACAGGCGATGGCGAAGGTCCTGGAGTCCTCGTCACTCGGATAAACCACAGCGCCGGCCAGCTGAACCTGCCCCCTTGGAGCACTGGCAAGGACATGTGGCGAGGGAGCTATGTCATCGCCCACAGTCGAGGAGTCGCACAAGTAGTAGCTCAGCGATCCCGTCTTGGCGTCCACCGTGAACCAGCGCGGCTGCCATCCTGTAAAAGGGATTGAGGGAAAGAAGATCAAATAGGTTTCTATAACATTCCTATTGGAATAAATGTTATTGGACTTTTCTAACAGATTTATAAGGCAAATGTACAATTCATTTCTTATCGTTTTGGGCCAGTTATCTTTGTAGATGAGTCATGTTTAGAAACTGATGAGGAAGATGAATTATGATTACTTTGTTGTAGTTATCCAACTGGTTTTCTGGAAACCCCAATCTTACCCTTCATCACATTTGTGTATTTGCTGAGCTGCCCGCTGAGTTTCAGCTTGGCCGATTCCCGGATAATCCTGTTCAGGTTGCTCTCCATTTTGATGGCGGTGGCCTTGGAATCCTTAAAGTCCGGGTGCTCCTCCCGCGGAAATTGGGTGCTCCGCGGGACAAAATTCGAGGAGCTGGCAGAACTTCCGGAAATTGGGGCTGCTGACCGTGGGGGCGTGGCCTGCCTCGGGCGGTTCTTCCTCTTGCGCTGTCGGAACGAGTTCTTGATTTTGCGTAAAATGTTTGCAGATGTTATTTATTTATTTTCATGGAAATTCAACAGAGCAAAACAACAAAGTGATCAGTGTGACCATACAAAAACCGTTGAGCACTGCTTGTTAATAGGGGTATTCCTTTCCTAATGACTAGAATTAAGCTGCGAACTGCTTGGCAGTAGGGTTTACGACTTAGTTTTATAAGAGCGTCTCGGACTAGATTATGTCATATTTTACAGATAATCCGAAAGAAAATCAAGAAAAAGAAGAGAGAGATTGTTTTTTAAAACAGTATCTATGAAAAAGTCTGTGATTTCGAATCATGAGCTGAAATACACAAAATTGCTCAATATTTATTTGCGATATTACGCAAAAATGTAGATCTACTTAGCAATGCATTATTTTGTAATCAAAGGATGAATTTCATTCGTATTCAAGAATATAGCAAGATAACGAAAACATTTTTATTTGTTTCAATTTTTTTCTGTTTCAATTTTTTGCCGCTACATTGCCTTTACAGAACTTTTAACATTATCCAACAGAATGTTAACAGTAACAGAGAAACCCATTCCATCGATGTTATATCGATACTTAGTGTATATGTAATCGATATTCGACTGTTTAATCCTTGTTCATCGGTGTTTCCCCACCTCTATCGCAAAACCAATTTGTTTAAAAAAACAGAGGGCCTTCGGAAAATCGCCGCTTCTTTAAAAATGAATAAGAGCACTTAGCGCTCGATGCTCTGCAAAACGCGTGCAACGGTAACTTGCGGTTTCGCCTGAACGAGAAAAAACAAGTGGAAAACGAAGGCAGCGCGAGTGAAAAAAATCAATTTGGTGGCACAAGCAGTGGCAAGAAGAAGAGCCAAGACGCAAGAGAACTGCTTGCGGATGATGTGATGATACAGATATATACAAATGTATATATGTATTCATACTATATATACATCTGGAGTTTGTGTTCAAATTAAGGCAATTAAAAGCGAAAGAACCGTGAATTTTTTGCCCATTTGCAAAAACAAAAGTGTGTGTGTGTGATTTAAAAATAAGAACGGAGTGTGTTTATATATGCGCGTGTGTGTTTTATTTGATGTTTTTATGTTTGCGTGTGATTTATGACATTTAACGGGAGTACATATGTGTACATACCATGCACCCCCTCTCCTTGCGTGTGTTTGTCTGTTTGTATCTCCCTCTCACTCCCACTCGTGTGAAAATGCGAGGGTGACTGAAGGGAAAAACTCCACTTTTTCATCTAAAAAAGTTAATACAACCCAGAGAAACTCGCATATATTTGCAAATATTGTGCAAATTGTAGAAAATCAAGAAAAATACCCATTACTAATTTGTATCTACGCTTATCCATTCATTTTCCTCCCATCCACCCACACAAACAAACAAACAAACCGCAACAAACACAACAACAAAAGAGTGACCATGAAAATGCGAGCGAGAAATTCGCGAAAATCAATGAATAAAAGCCAAAAACCAACAGCAACAACAACAACAGCAACGAGCAGCGGATCATAATAACTAATAATACTGTTAAACCAAGTGAAATTCGAGGTTGGAATTCGTTATGCTGCAGTGCCCATCATTGGATTAAAAACCGGGTGGAGATCCAAAAATCCCCGCCTCCAGTGTTTAACCCTCGCTTTTAGTTTAACCCCCTGCCGCCAGAATGGATGGTCAGCGGGCCAGGGATTTGCTAACGCTTCTGCAGGAGCGCGTCGTCTTCTTGACGGGCGGACGGGATCGGAGGGGCGGGCCGCTCCTCTGTTTCCCGGCCACGCCCCGCAGGGATCGACTAAAGCCAGAGGATCTGCGGCGACTTCTCAGTTACCTGATCAGCATTCCCAGGTGAGAATTATCACAATTAGTCGACATCTTTATATTTAAATTTATTACGATTAGCAACTCAGTTGAAGCATAAAATTCTTATTGAAACCAATATGTTATCCTCGACCGTGCAACGAATATAAATAAATGTCTGATAAAAGAGTAAAAATAAACGCTTGCGGCTGCATTTCTTATTGGAAATTGCATGCTTGTTTTATTTGTGTAAGGTTATTGTTCAATAATCGTTAAACATGATAACGATGATATAATACAACCCACCGATTAGGCCTGTGAGATAAGAATGTAACAGAAATACTTTATGTGGAGTGGGTATTTCCTAATATGAGAATTTTGGGGTAAACTTTGTTTTTACTTTTTTTTCATTTGAATATCTATTTTCTTATAAATGTATCTAGTTGACTTACCGAGAAGCATAAACTTAAAGATTTTTATAGACATTTTGAATCAGTCTACGTATCAACGATCTGTAAATAATCACCAGAAAATTCTGGGAACACATAATGACTCACTCATCATGTGGCGCCTACTGAAAATTCACCTTTTTCAGTTGACAACAGATATATATTTTATTAGATCACGTTTTATTTTTAAGAATTTCCAGCTTTGCACTAAGCAAGCAATTAAAGTTTACGTCTAAAGTATATTGCACGATTGTATGTAAGCTTTAGTTTCAATTTGTGAGAATTGAAAACGTCAAGTTCCTAGATATTTATACAGCAATGTTGCCTTTGGCGGCACTTGTATGAAATTTCTCCAGCCTCTTTCGTTTTGTATTTATTGCACAGTGATCTCTCGGTTTTTGGAAAGTCCTTAAATGTTATTATAAGCTGGGAAACTCAGAAAAATTAATTTTTGCTTATTTTTTATGGTCATTTGATCATTTGCTTTTTTAGCCCAGTAGGGCAGTTCACTTCGGGGAAATCGCAAGACCTCACAGCAGCAGTTTCGTGTTACCGGGGCCCACTGTACCAGCACAATGGGTACCCATTGTGTCGGCTGACGTCGCGACGTCGCTGGCTGCGCTTCGTTTGCAATTTCGGTAGAGTCGCGACGTCGTCGCCTCACCCGCACCTATATATTGCACGTAAATATATATATATTCCGAGTGGGGGGAGGATGCCGGGGGTGGAGGATGGCGGAGGGGGAAGCAGCTGCTGCAGCTGCAGTGCCACATTCCACTTGATTTTCCTGTTATAGTCGTCCGCCTGCAGTCGCATTTTTATGAATCATCATCGTCAGACGATTGCAAGAACAGCACGCACATTGTTCTTGCCTCGCCCTCTCTTTCACTCAGTGTGGTCCCTTCTCTTTCACCGCGGGCATACCCGTCTCTTTTACTGCTGCTGCTATTGACATTGAATCGCCAGAGGTTGGGGTTAAAATGGGTGGCAAAAAGTCATAAAAGTAAACATTTTTAAATAAAAACTAGCAGCAACAAAAATTGCATAAATCCGTGCGATAAAGAAAGCACAAAGAACCAAGAAGCAGCAGAAGAAAGAGCTGAAACACAGATACGAACGCATACATATGGGCAAAAACCGGGGACCGGCTTTCAAAGGCTTTAAGACCCCAGCTCAAAGAATGCGAATATTTTTTGCTGCTGCCCCAAACACCAAAAAAACAAAACAAAAACCAAAATGAGCTATAAAACAAGAAGAAAGAAAAGAAAGGGTAATTTGGACACACAGTGATGCTTCGATATAGAAATAAACTTCAGATATAAATAACCTCAAATGCTAAAATTAAAGCGAAAGTTATTAATTGATCAATTTAATTAAACACGACCTTAATACGATTTTTGCAGTCGATGCTACACCAAATATTTTTAAGGTTGAACATGTTTTAATGTAGTCATTTTTCTAAAAATATCGGATTTAGCCTCAAGAACTTAACATCTTAATTTATGCATAGACAAATTGGAACTTAATAAGTTGTTTTAACGCAAGGGCCAAAAGAATCGCCAAGTTAATGGACCCTTTTCCCGAAGTCAGACACTACCATCGAGATGGCTGCCAACGGCAACCAACTCGGAATGATAATCAGGGCCGGGAGTTGATGATGATGGCGACCCCAGATTGCGACACACGACAAGAGTATCTGATGAAAAATAGTATCTGCTGAAAAGAAGCCGCAGCCGACGTTCTGCAATCATTGAGAAACGGAGGAACGCACGTTCCCCGCTTATTTAGTCATGCTCATTGGCGCAATCATAGAAAGGTGTAGAGTTATTCAGCTAAAATGTAGCGCCTAACAAGTTTTCGCCAGACATGAATCACTGGGAGGCAAATTCCCACGCCGTATCCCATTCAGTTGTTATCAGCCGGGTAACAAGCACAGCGTTGTATTATCAGTGTCCCACATTTCACTGGATCCCCTGACCAGAAATAGGAAAAAAAACACAAATAATGGAACCATAGCAGACACTTCAGGTTCGGCCGATAAGCAAATCGTCTCGCTGACGACGCCTTCGACGTCGTAGTCCATATTCCAAATATACAAAATGGTATTGGGGTTCCCTTATCTCATCGCCGCCATCCATGGAATTTGTGGTCCGTTCTGGCAGTCTGCCCACTGTGCTGATTTTCTTTCTTTTTGGTTCTCTGGCTGCTCCCTGACTTGGTTTTTTATGTTCAGTCTGCCCTAAAATAGGGCTTGAAAACTAAGGCCTTAATTTTGTTAAGTAAAAAGCATAGTTAAGTACACCAAACCAAATAATGAAAAAAACTTATTACTATTTCTTTCTGGGTCGAAATATATAAGTAACTTTAAATAAAACAAATGCTGCTTGCTTATACAACTAAATTTTATTAATAAAGGGTATTCCAAAGTGCGTCTCCAACAGTGCTTTTTCCTTTTTGTTTTGCTTTGACTTCGTTTATGTTTCGCTTTTCATTTTGTTTATTTGCTTTGGCGTGAAACACTTTTTGTTTATTTCTGCGCTTGTTTGTTCCTTTGTCTCTCGGTTCCCGAGACTCGGCCAAATTGGCAACTGAAGTCCAGGCGTCTTCTTGCTGCTGTCGTCAATGCAAATTCCGTGAATCGAGTGAATCGCGAGGGAGCTCTCAGCATTTTAGACACGTACCTTCGCTGGACTTCCTTTTGGGGTATTATTTCACCCCGCTCCCTCAAAAAATCTCGGATTTATGGGTTAAATAAACGATTTTTGATTGGACTTTGCGTTTGGTTTTCTTTTTTTTTTTTTTTTTGACTCGAATTTAAAATGCGGGCGACACTTTTTCCTGTCTCTCTTTTTCGGCTTCGGTTTCGATTTTTAATAGCCCGTTCGAGGGTTTTTATTAGTCATCAAAAAAGTTGCCCATGCCTCTCCAGAAAAATACACAAATTTCCAGATATGTCGCACGATAAGAAGTGGTGGGAGGGTTTTGAGAACTTTTATAGGGTTCTTAACCATTGGTAACACCAAAGTTCTGCGCTCTCAAAGACAGACTTTCGTGTTGGATGGAACTTACTCGAATTTAGAATGCATTTGAGAAGACGCCTCTTCACATTCGCATTGTTCTTCGGGGGCAAAACCCCTAGAAATGCCCATCAACCGCACGACATACGTACATATGTCTAAACACGAGAAGATAACGTGGTTAAAACCGGGAACTGAGACTCCAGAACCGGCCACAATCGGGCCAAGAAATAGCGGCAGAACAGAGGGAATAATAGGAATAATAGGCGGAATTGAAGGAGGCGGAGTTGCGCACACATCAATGAAAGAAATATTTATAGTTAATGGAGCGATTAAAATTCAAAAGGAATGCAAATCAGAGCGTTGAGCGGCCGGGCCGTTTGCGGGGAGGTGTGTAGGAAATTATTAGCTAAAATCGGTGTCAGAGCAATAGAAACCGACCTCAGACCAAACGAAGCCGTGCTGTCATAATTTATGCAAGCGACGTAAACAGAGCAACGAACCATGAGCGATTCACGACACTCTCACTCACGTACTTCAGGGAAGACGCTGCACTCGGAAAAAAGTGGAATAATTTCATGAAATAGATATAACATTCTGGAAACAATAGCTCCTATGCTATATAGAAAAATCAGTCGAAAGAACCTCACGTAAAAGCAGCTATTCTTTTCTAAGCTCTAAAACAAAACCTCGAAATAAGATATCGCGAAATTCATTAAGATTCAGGCAAAAAGTATAAATTATATTCTTTAATGAATAATCATTTATTAAGGAAAGCTAAAAAGGTGTTTTTAGCGACCGAATCTCATTTAAAAGAATGCCTACTACAATATTTTGGATAGTTAATATATAATACATACATATGTGTATGCAGATATGCAAATATTGATTCTTCTTTATTTATTTTTCTCTGTGTATTTCTACCATTTCTAAGCTCTCTTCTGATCGCTCTCTCTAACTGAACACACCTTTCACCTGGCTTATTTTGCAGCGACGCCGCCAAGAACCTCGGATTCACAGTCATCATCGACATGCGCGGCAATGGCAACTGCTCGACCAACGTGAAGACGATATTGAAGGTGCTGCAGGAACACTTCAGCGCCAATATCCACAACGTGGTGATCATCAAGCCGGACAACTTCTGGCAGAAGCAGCGTGCCTCGATCTCCTCGCACAAGTACAAGTTCGAGACGACGACGGTGTCGATCGAGTCCCTCAACAAGATCGCTGAGAGTCACCAACTGACGGGTGATTTCGAGGGTCAGCAGCCGTACGATCATCAGCAGTGGACGGACGCCCGGTTGGCCATCGAGGACTTCTTCTGGCAGGCCGGTGATATGGCCGATCGCATCGACGATCTGCAGGAGGACCTCAATCGCAACGATTTCGCCGAGGACGTAACGCTGGCCAGGCACGCCATCGATCATCACAACGAGATGCGCAAGAAGATCACCAAGCTGCCCATCGAGGATCTCGACATTCAGGGCAAGAAGCTGCTGGCCAAGATCAACGCAGTGGCTCCGCCAGGCGGTCAGGTGAGCATGGATTCCATTCAAGAAATAGCAATTTGAGTTTAACTTCAACTCCTCAATCTTCATGTAATAAATATTACTTGTAGGCCTTTTTGCTCTTTTTTTTAATGTTTAATCTATTAAACAAATATTTACTGTATACAAGTAGGTGATAAATCTCTGAATCGTTAAGTGTTTAACAAAGATCTTTATCTGGTTACGTCCATCACTTCTTCCGTGAATATAAAATGTAAACAAATAAAAAAGTATTACGAGTTTCTGATTAATAAACACTCACAAATTTAACAGAAAAAGTCAATAGCCTCTGGTCTAGCATTCACTTCACTGAAATGTATGCCGAAAAAACTTAAACCGGAACCATTCGGGTTTTTTTTTCATGAAAATGAATTCTTTTGTTTGCCAACAGGTGGAATTAAATTGATGTTTTATTTGTTACATTTGTTTATAAATGTTTTAAATAGAAGGGCTTCTTTGTATTAAACTAATTAAAACCAATCAACATAAATTATTTAACCATCAATTTCGTAACAATAAACCAAAGTGATACATTTTCTGTTCATAAATATTTAAACACCTGCCCTGATTTGCTTTCCTAAAGTCGCCTAGGTGTTGCAAATATATAAATATATTAATATAGCGCAAACTATACAGCAGTTCACTTAGCAACATCAAGATATTTGAGGATGTCTTTTCTCTCAAATTTTAAGTTGAAACTCTGTTGCGAATTTCATAAAATTTAATACGCTTTAAAATCAACTTTTGTAACATGCCTTTACGTTTTCCAGCCCCCTGCTGGTTCCGGAGGCTCGGACATGGACTCGGGCACTTCCTCTGCCGGACAGCAATCTCAACCCTCGCAGCAATCTCGCTCGGTGAGCGGCAATCCGGACATGTCGGCCGCCGTGAACAAAGCCCTGCGGCAAATCGACCTCATTCACACCGGGCAGGAGAAGCTGCTGATGCTGTGGCAGCACAAGAAGGTGAAACTAGACCAGTGCTTCCAGTGGCGCCTGTTCGAGCAGGACTGCGAGAAGATGTTCGACTGGATCCTGCACAACCGCGATGTGTTCCAGATGAGCTACGTGGAGATAGGACACAACTACTCTGTGGCCAAATCGCTGCAGGACGAGCACCAGAAGTTCGCCGTGGCCTCCATGAATGTGTCCGTGAACATCGATAGGATCCTGGCAGTGGCAGCTCGGCTGATTGAGAGCCAGCACTATGCAGCTCAGCACATTAAAACGCTGGCCCAACGCTTGGACCGCACCTGGAAGGACTTTGCAGCGGGCTTGGACGAGAGAACGGCTGTCCTGCAGCTCAGTGTTCTGTTCCATCACAAGGCGGAGCAGTATTGCAACAGCGTGGCCAGCTGGGCAGCCGCCTGTCAGGCCTCGCAACCACTTCCATCGGATATCCAGAGCCTGGAGACGGCCATCCGGACACACCAGTCTCTGTACGAAGCCATGTGCCAGGCTTACACGGAGGTTCACTCCACCAGCAAGAAGCTGCTGTATCAACTGGATCACTTGGTGCAGGTCTGCAATCAACCGCCGCCACCTGGTGTCCCGGATCATCGAAAGAATAGCAACGGTGGCAGCTTTAACAAGTACGAGAGACAGAATCCGGCGGCGGATTACAGCGAGGGCGCCAGTCATGTGTTGGCTGTGATTCACCAGATCCTGGGACACCATCGCACTCTGGAAGCCAAGTGGCACCAGGAAAGATTGCGACTGCACCAGACCCTAGCTCTTAGGCTCTTCCAGGAAGATGTGAAGCAGGTCTTGGATTGGCTGAAAAATCACGGCGAAGTTTTCCTGCGGAAAAATACAGGTATTGGCCGGAACTTCCACAAGGCCAGGGTGTATCAGACCTCGCACGATAACTTCGAGAACGTTGCCCAGAACACCTACAGTAATGCCCAGAAACTTCTGACGGCTGCCGATGAGCTGGCCCGAAGTGGCGAAGCGGACCCCAATGAGATTTATTCTGTGGCCAGAGAGCTGGAACTGCAAGTGGGCAGCTTTGCGGAGAGAGTGGAGCAGAGGAGACGCCGCCTGGAGATGGCCGTCATTTTCTACACCCACGAGAAGGACGTGACCGCCTGGATAGATAAGCTGAGAAAGGATGTGAGCACGGACGAGACGCGGCTGTCGCAGGAGAATCTCGAGGGCATCGAATGCATATTGCAGCAATATCAGAGGGACAAGCAGGAGAGCTCCGTTAATGTCTGCCTCACGACGATTGCCCAGGGTGAAGCTCTGCTGCAGGAGATGCGTTCCCTGGAGTATGCGGACAATACTGGCTCCATTGCCGCCTTGGAGGCCACGCTCGAGAAGCTGAGCAAACAGAAAGTGGAGCTGGAGGAGCTCTGGTCAGCCCGCAAGTTTCGCGCCGATCTCATCCTGCGCCTGCGCTACTTCGAGCGGGACGCCATGGAGCTGTCTTCCCAGCTGGAGATCTGGTCGGAGTCTCTCCAGCATGCTGACCTCTCCAGGGACTACCAGAAGGCCGAGCAGCTCATACGCATGCACAACGAATCGGTGACGGACATGCAGAACGCCACCTACGAGATCCTGCAGCAGGGTCAGGACCTGCTGCAGCTGTTCGAGAACGCTGGCTTCATCTCCATGGCGGATAGCACGCACACGGCTCAGGCTAGGATTGAATATCTGCTCGACTTCTTGCGCGAACGGGAGATCGATCTGGAGGAAATGTCCGAGGCGAAGCGGGCAAAGCTCGAGCAAGCGGTGCAGCTATGTCAATTCCAGAACGATGCCAACCAGGTTATTTCGTGGATCCGCAATGGAGAAGCCATGCTGGTGGCCAGCTTCGTCACACCGAACAGCTTGCAGGAGGCCGAACAGCTGCGCAAGGGTCACGAGCAGTTTCAGGTAAACAAAACGAATATAAATAGGCTTTTGTATTGCGATTGTTAATGCTATTCCTCCATGTAGATTGCCATTGAGAAGACGCACACATCGGCGGTGCAGGTTAAGTATCGGGCGGACGCTTTGATCAATGCCAACCACTATGACCCGCAATCCATCAGGGAGATCAGTGATGATGTGACCAAGAAGTGGCAGCAGTTGGTTACCTACGCCGAGGAGCGCCACAAACTGGTGACCGCCTCGATAAACTTCTACAAAACAGCCGAGCAGGTGTGTTCGGTTTTGGACAGCTTGGAGCGGGAATACAAGCGGGAGGATGACTGGTGTGGCGGCGGGGGAGGCAGCGACAAAGCTCCCACCATCGTGCAGCTGATCTCGAAGCATCAGGAGCAGAAGGAGGCCTTCTTGAAAGCCTGTACTCTGGCTCGTCGCACGGCGGAGACTTTCCTGAAATACGCTAATCGATCACAGCAGTGCTACCAGTACAAAGGAAACTGCGAAGCCCATGTGAAGAGCAAGCTGGACAAGCTACTGACCCAGGAAAATCAAGTTCTAGACTACTGGACGCTGCGCAAGAAATCGCTGGATCAGTGTCAGCAGTTTGTTCTCTTCGAGAGGAGTGCCAAACAGGCCATCGAATGGATTCACAACACCGGCGAAGCGTACCTCTCCTCGAGATCTAACTTGGTGGGCATAAGCAAGGAGGAAACGGAGGGATTGCTCAAAGAGCACAACGAGTTCCGCAGCACTGCCAAGGAGACGCGTGAAAGGGTGAAGCTGCTCATCCAACTGGCTGATAGTTTGGTGGAAAAGGGTCACGCCCATGCCAGCGATATCAAGCAATGGGTGGCGTCTGTGGACCAGCGGTACAAGGATTTCAGCAACCGAATGGACAGCTACTGCGAGCAGTTGGAGAAATCCCTGGGCATGTCCCAGCAGCAGTTACTTTTGGGATGCGATGGAAACAGCTCGATAAGTTCGTCCTCGGGCGTCAGCAGTGGGGATCGCCACTCGGATCCCACGCTGGAAGCGAAGCTGAACAGCAGCAACAAGGAGAACAAGGAAATAAACGAGGAGAAGCGCAAGTCGGCGAGGAGGAAAGAGTTCATCATGGCGGAACTCATGCAAACAGAGAGGGCCTACGTCAACGATCTGGCCACCTGCATTAAGTGTTTCCTGGAGGAGTTCAGAGGTGGCAGAAATGTGCCTCCTGCACTCATTGGTCAAGAAGATGTGATATTCGGCAATATTAGGGAAATACACCACTTCCATCAGAAGATTTTCCTGCGCGAGCTGGAGAAGTACGAAACGATGCCGGAGGATGTGGGCCATTGCTTTGTGACCTGGGCCTCCAAGTTCGACATGTATGTGCACTACTGCAAGAACAAACCCACATCGAATAATCTGCTAGTCCAGCACGCGGGCAGCTACTTTGAGGAGCTGCAGCGGCGCCTTGAGGTGGACCATCCCCTGCCCGCCTATCTCATCAAACCCGTGCAGAGGATCACCAAATACCAGCTGTTACTTAAGGATCTCCTATCCTGCTGCGAGGAGAGCCATGGCGAAATCAAAGAGGGTCTCGAAGTAATGCTGAATGTGCCCAAAAAGGCCAACGATGCCATGCATCTTTCGCTGCTGGAAAACTGTGATGTCTCCGTGGACAAACTCGGAGAAGTTGTGCTGCAGGACGCCTTCCAGGCCTGGGACACCAAGCAAATCATCCGAAAGGGCAGGGAACGACGTGTCTTCCTCTTCGAGTTGTATCTCCTGTTTGCCAAGGAGGTCAAGGAGTCCAGCGTAGTCAAGTACCAGTTTAAGAGCAAGCTCATGACCACCGACATGGGCATCACGGAGCACATCGAGGGCGATGAGACCAAGTTCGCAGTGTGGACTGGTCGTTCGCCCATGCTCTCGGATTGCAGGATCGTTTTGAAAGCAACGAGCTTGGAAACCAAGCAGGTGAGTGAATTAAGATGGTTCTAATCGAAAAATAGATTTCCTATAAAGTTTACTTATGTGTCTATCAAATATCTTAATACTTTACTTTAATCCCTTTATTCTATTTTCAGATTTGGGTGAAGAAGCTGCGCGAAGTAATGCAGGAGACCTGCTTCTCGGGTACCTCATTGACCCTGCCAAAGTCTCCAGCCAAACACTCGGGCTCCTCGCAAAGATCTTCTAGGGATTTGGATGAACAGCTCACCGAGAACGATCATGATCGCTGCTCTCTAGCTAGTTTCGGATCGGGTAATACCACAGATAGTGATAATAAGGTAAGTCATCAAGAGATTTCCTCACAACAATCTTAAAAATAACTTTATTAACTCAGAATATTATGTAAGAGTAACTACATTTAGTGGCAATTTAAAAAACTTTCGTTCTGAAACGCTTTCATAGAAAGTATTCCCGTTATTTGTGTAAGCTTTTCATCTATTACTGAGTTTCCCGCTATTTAGCGGTTAGCTTTAAGCTCTCTAGGCAGCTTTCCCTTCGGTCCTACCTCACTTGCAAACAGCTTACCTGCACCATCCCCATCGAACACATCCTCCTCTCTCCAGGATTGGGAAGGCTGCTGCCACTGCCATTGGCCAGCTGAACTAGTTTTCCCACTTGCCGCGACTTCGGATCCGTTCGGCTCGGGGTCCTGCAACATGTTTAAAATTCATAGCAGGGCTTAATGAGATTTTCCTCGCTGGTGCGTGGAACTCTTCAAGACCGCTGGCTGTCGTCAGTTTGCAGCAGCAAGCAGCCTGTACTCGCACACGGATGGATCCTTGCTGTAGGTCGAGTGTGTGCCGGATTATATATGACTGCTTTTAGCGCTCTTTCGTTACATTTGCTTAATGTAAATTTTATGTGACACTTCTTTATAGTTAGGTCTGTCTGCCCGCGTCTGCCAAACTGTCAACGGCCAACATTTTCGGCATTCCCGGCCAGATTTCGCCTGCGTACGCCACTGAAACTAAAGAGCGCAGATTTCTAGCGATTTTACGACCCACATAACCGTTTGTCTTATGTGCAGGAGGTTGCTGAGGTTAAGGGTTTCACTTTGTGTTAGTTTTATATGCCTTCGGGATCCTCCCAGCTCTCAACAACTATTTTCAGTGTTTATTTCCATCTGATTATATTTTATGGTTACCATACTGTACTGAAAATGACAAAAATAATGAAGAGTAAAAACAACAGCTCTATCATTCAGTTTATTGAATGTCTAGTCATTTAAGGCATAGATTGAATTGTATTTACATTGCTCCTACAAATATTTGGATTGTATTGATGTATGTACTAAATAAATACAATAAAACAAAACCTATAACAATAATATGGGAAATTAATAAACTCTAAAATACGGTTCATTATCAAAAACGAAATTCCCGCCCATCTGAAAACCCAAAGACCCCAACGCTAATAAGCTGAGAGAGGAAAAGCTCTGGGAAGAAGCGCTCTCTGCGTTTCGCTGGAAAGCTTTTCGGTTTTCTTTTCGCCAATTTTAACCCCCTGGAGGGTAGTGGGTTAAGGCAATTGCTGTTGCGAATGTTTTCGGTGCGTTCGTCGCTGCGTGTGCTCGTGGATTTATATGCGGAGTGGATTCGGTGGAATCGTGGATTCGTGTGGGGCCGCTGCTCCAGTTGCTCCGCAGAGTTTCAGCCAAGAGGTTCGTTCGCTCACCGCCGGGTAACTCGGGTTTTCCTCAGTTTTCCTCTCGGATTTTCCATCGCCTGCTGCCTGCAGATGCGCGCCGCCCGGCCAAAAAACGCCAAACGCAGCAGCAGCCGCAGCAATCTCCTCTTCTTCGCTCTGGAACTGCGCTTACGTTTTCCTTTTCTTTGAGTGAACATACTTCAGAGGAGCAGAGTCGCATTCATCAGGCAACATCCATAATTTGTATGAAAAGCAAACACCTTCGTGTGTCAAGTGATTGAAAATCGACCATAATCACAGTGATAAGGACAACCGTGATAGCAGTGCACTCTAAAGATAAAGATTCAACTACAATCTCCCCTTCAAAAGTAAAAAGAAAGCCAGCTGGCTCGTCAAGTCAACGAATAATAACACCTCAAATGCCCCAAAAACTTAAACAATGCCTAAAAAGGAAGATTACATAAAAGGCGGCCTCTTGTTTAGGCCTTAAACTGTCCCAAAAATGTTGTAAACAAAGACCTGGCTTATATAAATAACTAGAAACAAAAAAAGTGAAACAACAATCCGAGTAACGCAAATAAATATGATAAAAAGCTGTTTCTGCTGCCAAAAACTACGCAAGCAAGAGGGGGGGAACCCTTTTTAGCATTTTTGCGAGCGCAAAAAAATGAGCTGAGGATGAAAATGTCTGCAGCAGCCGCAGGCGAAAAGCCACCCACTTTTCCGCCGCTGCTGCCTTTGACCTTTTTCACGCCTTTAGTCACTTGAGTAGCAGTTTCGTTCCCCCCATTTAGACGTTTCGTTGCCCCCTGGAAAAGAAAAACCCCTCGAGTACTGCTGTCAACTGCAAAGCGATCGCACTCTGAGTGTGTGCTATCATCAGCAGAATATCTCGAATTGAACAACTTTCGGTAGCCTTCCTTGAGATACACTCGAATAGAGGGACTTCTGTTATCAATTCCAAACGTTAGTGTTGAAATATTTATAATTTATGCATTTTATATTTCGTTCTTGGACATTAACTTTCAATCGTTTCGTTTTAAACATTATTTTTCTGTCTGATGATGTGCCAAATATTTCTATAATTTGTTCCTTACCTATTTTCATTCTAAAATTTTCGCTAACACTCAAAATAATGCAGAGAAATCAGTCTAAGTTCAAATATTAAAAATCAAAAGAACAAATACAGAGTTATTTTGTATTTAAAACATATATATATTTTAAAGAATTTATTTATTTCTTCTATTTTGAAAGCTTTTATCATTCGATTCAGGTGTTCATAGAAATTGTTTGATGATTAAATCTTTTAACACTCTAAATACATATATAAAGAGCATTCAGAAGTTAGACTTTCTTTGCCTTAGTTTTTTTATTTCGCGCTTTGTTAGAGATTTTATCTAAATGCATATTTGGTTTTTGTTTTCAACCCAATTCCCCAGCCACTTTGAAGAGTATCTGATGGTTAACGCCACCCCGGGCTTTGTTCTTGAATTGGCCATTTGCAGGGGGCACGCTTCGAGTTGAGTCGACTCACCCGAGTTGGGGCCATTAATTTCACGCTTATCTATTGCATTTTAATATTTATTTCAACGCGATAGGGTTGCGGTTCCGTTGTTTGGCTAATGCGGCTGCGGTTCTCCCTGTTTGCAGTGGGGTTCTGTTTTGTACTTTTTATTCAGTTGTGGCTGATGTAGACACGACATGTTTTGGTCATTATAATTATCGAGTCGATGCATTGCAATTTAATTTGAGTGCCAGTTGTGTGGACGGCAAACAGCGGTGGCGAGTGGCGAGTGCCAGTGTCCAACCCCATGCACTTTCCTATATATCCATCAGTTGTCAGTGGTCGGTGGTCGGTGGTGCTCCTTGTTAGTTTTCCCTCCCTTTCACCATTTCCATAATGGACCCGGCCCTTTGCCAAAGGCCAGTTTGGCCTAATCTAATCCAATTTGCAGCCCGGAAGCAATTAAAACAGCATACGAACAACACAAACATTTGCAACTGTGGTCGTTGGAAACCGCTTAGTTAACCCAACAACACCGAACAAAGGAAACACATTTCCAATGCTGACTAGAAACATTTTTCGAATTGCGGTGGGATGCTTTTTCCAGATAAAGTTTTTCCCTGCTTCTATTTTTATCCCGTTTAGGAAAGAGGGCGAAAGTTGCAAAGCTTGTTCTAAGTTTAGCAGACGGGATTAAATCAGTTTTGTGTTTTTTAGACGTTAAGGATAATAACTAACTGGAAACCCCACTTTTTGGCCTTACTTTCTGTTCATTTTGTTGAAAAGTAAAAATATTTTCTTTAAATAATGAATTCGTATACTTTTGACGAGTTTTTGTTCCTTGTATAATTTTGTTTTTCTTTAAAACAAACTTCAAATCCCAAGCAAGATTGTTGAAGATGCTGGCAAAATACTTGCTACCTGAAATTTAGTTATTTACCACCAAGGAGGGAGTAAGCCAAAGTTGCTAACTTAAATTAAATTAATTAAGTTTGAAATGTGAGCTTTGCTTTAACATCACTCTAACTCGCTCCAGTTTCCCCCTCAGTGTGCATTCATTTGCAAAAATTGAATTAGGTTAGCTTTTTGAGTGAATGAAATGAAAGTATTAGGCCAAAGAAAACGAAAATATTTCTGGCATTTTGTCAACGCCACAAAATGTCAACGAGTCCTTACAGTGGGTGTAAATACACACACCCACGACCAGGGAAAGAAGCAAAGTTTTAAGACGCAAAGTCGCGGCTGAAACACTGGCGGCATCAGGAGTACAAAACGAGCCATCAGCATCTGGCCAAAAGTGATGGCAATGCCACTTAGCCAGCAGCTGCTCGAAAACTCACACAATCACACAAATGGCCGCTGCGAATTTCCTCGAACATATGCAAATTTTAGGGGCAGCTCATGCTGAACATTTGCAAATACCCTTACCATTGTGGCTTAATGTTGCATACATTTAGCAATAAAAAATTTATAAATAAGTTAAGCAAATCAAATGTTTTTCTATTGAGCCGGGTAAGAATTCCTATTGACGGCTCAACCGGAAATTATTGAATTCATAGTTTTGAAAGAGATTTTAAGGAAATTTATGAATTGAAAATAATTTATTGACAAGCAATAAGGAACTCTTGTTTCACAAAACCAATCGGCTTTCTGATTTCGAAAAGAGTGTTCCCATTACACTTGAGGCAATTTCTTCACCTTTCTCTTGTGAGCGTTTTTCGCAAATTGCTTTCCCCTGAACTATTACAGAGGTAAAGACTGTGATGGCAACGCAGCGAGAAAAGCACACAGAATCAGAGAAAAACCCAATCATAATTGCTCGCCCGCGATTCCGAGATTTGCGGACCGGGTGAAGTGCCAGTCGCTATGGCGCACCTGCCACATCTTCCGAATCGTGGGCATTTTTTTTCGGAAACACGCGCTAAACGCCTGGCAACGTCCGAAGAGCAACAAACAGAAATGTGTAAAAATAACAAACCCATGTGCATAGGTATAGGCGTATATACGGACATAGTTCTGAGTAAACAAACGTGCGCTAAGAAAATTCAAGATAAATTTTGCGCCGTTTGTAGGTGGCCAGCTTTTTATCTATGCAAATAAAATAAATAAAATATATATGCGTGCATA